TGGAGCGGGGGGAGGGTGCGGGGGGGTGCTCGGCGGCGAGGGGGATCTGGTGAGGGGGATAGCTATCGAGAGGGAGGGGGATCGAGATCGAGTGTCCTCATGAATATTCAATATTTTTTATATGGAATATGAAAAAATATCATCAAATTTGAAAAAATATTCATGAATTCAAAAAATGCCCATGAAATTTAAAAATATTCATGATATCAAAAAGTAAAAAAAGTGCACATTACTAGTTTAAACTAGTAATGGCGCACTATGCAACGGTGCGTCCTTAGTAGTTTTGCAAAAAAGTAAAAAAAATACAGTAGTGGCGCACTCTACGGCTGGTGCGCCATTAGTAGTTTCACTCTGCCCGGATGCGCCATTAGTATGTTTGAAAAAAATGAAAAAAACATTTTGTTACTAGTGGCGCACCGTGTGCCTGGTGCGCCATTAGTGTCTTCCACACTAATGGCGCACCAAAAGATGGTGCGCCATTAGTATATAGTAATGGCGCACCACATGTCTGGTGCGTCATTAGTGTCATTTCCATCTATAGCCCTTTTCCTAGTAGTGCCCGAAGGGGCGACGCAGCGGCGATGCACGAGTCGATGCAGCCGCGAGGAGAACCACGAGGCGGTAGCGCTGCAGCCCGACGGGGCGACGCAGTGGCAGCCCGATGCTCGATCGGTGGAGAGGCGCGCTGAACTCAGAGACGATCTTCACGGTACCTGCGGAGGTGCGCGTAACCGACGGGCCAGGTCGGTCGCGCGGCGTAGATGAGGCGGATCGCGGGCGGCGAGCGGGTGATCAAGACGATCACGCGCGAGGTCGGGGACGCCGCTCGGTGTAGGCGTGGTGGCGGCGGAGTCCGAGATGAAGCCGGCGACGACGGACGACGTGGGACGTCGTGCGGACGAGCTTGTCAGCACCAGCACCTGGGCTGCCAAAGCAACGCCGGCACCCGGGCAGCAAGGTCCGAGCGACCAACGGAGCAGCGACGCCCGAGTTGTGGCAGCCGACGCAGCCGTCCCGACGCAGCCGAGGACGATGCCGGCAAGGTAGACCGCCGGGCCGCCGTGCAGATGCGCCGGAGGCGGGTGATGTGCATCGATGGACGGGCCGACGTGCGAGCGACGGCTATGATTGGCCGTCGCATGGCGCGAGGCCGCTGGGTCGGGGCGATGCAGGTGTCCTGATCGGAGCAGGGCGGTGACGGTCGACGTAGGGCAACGGGCGGACCGACGCGCGGACGGCGGCTGGCCCGGACGGGCCGCCTCGGGGCGCGTGGCCACCGGGTCGGAGGAGAGGCCGGCTGGTCGCGCCGGGGTTGGAGTAGAGGTGCACGGGGGTCGACGGCGGCGGCGGGCAACGCAAACTGATTACGATTATGATTACGATTAGATCGGAAAACCAAAAAGAAAAATGCCGATCAAAACGACCGGCGAGAGAGCGAAAAAAAACCCGAAGCAAGGGCTCAGGAAAAAGACTTTCTAGGGCAGCCGGCCAACACGGCCGGCGGACGAACCCTAGGTACGGACGGCGCGGCCCCCCGGCGGCGGTCATGGAGGCCGACTGCCCCAGGGGCAGCGCGCGGGTGCGGAAGCGGCGGCAGGTAGGGTTTAGAATCCGGAAACTGATACCATGTTAGAAGGAAGAGAGGAATTGGTGGAATAGTCGTTGTATTACTTGAGCCTCGTGGGCATATATATATATATATATATATATATATATATATATATATATATATATATATATATATATATAAAAGTACATAATCTAATTTGAGTACAAAGCAAGCCAGAATATTTTCTAGTCTAACCTATGTTTCCTAATACAATCACGTTACTCAACAATCCTGTTTAGAAATCTGATTCATCCATCTCTCCAATTCAACCTTCCCCTTCACTTCAACATCTCTTGGTGGGAAGCCTCCTCTCATTATTCCTGCTTGGTCGACATGGAGTTGGCTCCATACTCCAACATACAAATCTACAGTTAACAAAACGAGGAAACCAAGAAAAAAAAGAAGCCTCCAATGGGATGGGAGATCCATGGGATGTTGGGGCCGGAGACGACGTACGCTAGCTAGGATGCTATAGGAGGAGGAGGAGGAGGGGAACGTAACTTGGAGGAGCAGCCTGCAAAGAAGATGGCGAACATGCTCCGGTAGAATGCCTCCTTCATATAGCGATGATGATCCGCCTCAACACCGTTGTAACACTCCGGGGCTTTACCGTGGTTCCCGGGCCAGACCGCCAACATGTCCAAGAGAAAGATTCCTCCCGCGTCCAACGCCATTGACCTGCACACGCCCACACCCACACCCACACCCACACCATGAGAGAAGAGGAGAGGAGAGGAGAGGATAAGTAATAATAATGATCTAAACGCTCTTAAATTTCTTTCTTTACAGAGGGAGTAGTATATATTTACGGACGACTCAGCTCGCTCACCATGAGATGATGGCAAGGATGATGCCCGCCACGAAGCTCGATCCGGAGACGCCGTCGCGGGGCTTGCAGCATCCGTTTTGGGAGGTGTAATGCGAGACGACAGCCAGAACGAAAGCCAGTTGGGCCAAACTCGCCGCGAAAGACAGGCTCATGGGGTACACGCACTCACCCCTGTCGTTCAACCTGATATCATCACGCTTCTATATATGCAACAGCCAATTAGTAAGTATAGTACTGTTCCGTTCCGTTAAACACATGCAAATTAACAAACAAACAAACAAACAAAAAGATAATAAATACTATGAATAATCATGTCATGTGCTTGCTGCTTACCTTGGGCCTTGTGGCATCGGCGACGAGAAGCAAGGCCGTTATGGCTAATCCTACCACCAACCCGATTAAGAACCTTTTTAACCTTTCCGTGTCCATTTTGTTTTTGTGAGTTTAGTGGTAGGATCTCGCAAGGTTGTGCCTTGTGGCATGTGGTTTGACAATTCACCTTGGCACCCAACTGCATGGCGCATGATCTCGCAAGCAAAAAAAGAAACAACAAGAGAAATACTACAGTAAGATGGATTATTATTACGATCAAGACATTATGGAAATGCATGCATGCACTCACAATTATTCACATGGAAATGCAGGCCATTGCCGCAGCTAGCGTAGCAACGGGACTGAAATTTGCGTGTGGATCTGCATGGTCGGCTTCCCGCGTATATATGCATGCTTGCATTGACTATTATTACGAGGAAGGAAGGAAGCATGCATGCATGCATGTCGAAACGGGAGTGCAAGTCGCGGGGAAGGGAATGAAAGTAGGTGAGCGGGCGGGCGTTTAGCGGTGGAGCTAGTTTCTCGCCCCCTTCCTCCCAAATTAAGCAGGGTAAGGGTGAACCTCCGACTTATTTAATCTAACATTCTTAAGAAATTGCTCCCCATTTTACCTATTCTTTCAACATGCACACTATTCACATCATCACCATGCCACATCATCAATACTAAATAGGAGCAACCCACTAACTCATTTTTCTAAGCATGCAGCCCTCCCACCTCACCAAGCTGCCACATCATCATTTATTTTGATAATTAACTTTTTTACCCATAAGAGAATATATTCTGCCATGTCAGCAACGAGGGCTTCAAAGCATATGGGTCCAATGATGTTCACCCCTTCCTCTGCTCTCCCCTCATCTTCTGGGGTTCCACTTAAGAAACTGATCGAAAAAGTATTGATGGATTCCATTCATCTTCTTAGTCTAGGGCAGTAATTTTTGTATAATGGTTCCCTTCGTTTCCCGCAGTATATAAATCACCACAATCGCCACTCAAACTCGCCCTCGAGTCCTCACATCGTACGATTCCCTTTTACGTCCTTGGTCTTCCTGTTTGGATCCCTCAAGTGGCTGATGGGTCGGATGGTGTGTTACCCAGCGATGGCGGCTTCTGGTGTCATCTACATATTTTGCAGAGTTTATACAAAACCGCATGAGAAAAGATCCCATCAAGTAGTACTCAATCGGCTGTCTCTCTCCACTATAGAGTCAGCGGGATGGATGAGAGGAACTAACTAGCATCAACCAGGCAAAGGTACTCATGGAGGTGGAGAAGGAGCCAGGCCGGAGGCTCTCCGCTGTAGCACGCGCATGTCTCTTCTCTCTGCAGACCTCCTATTACATAGGCAGTACCAGATCTGAATTTTTTGCTGTCTCAGATGGTTTATTCACAAGTTTGGATGTCTCTCTATTCTTCAGGTCTCCGGCCGGCCGTCTGCACAATCGCGGAGTCCTGATTCTTTCTTTCCTTTTGTGTAAAACTGAGAGTTTCAATTCCCATAATGTAACTAGGAAATTTCGTATGATTTCTGCAGATCATATGGATTTTAGGTGGCTAATTTTTTTAGGTCTAAGTCCCTGCTTGGAACTGAGAGTTGTACTGGTTTCTGAAGCATTATGTTGTACTGGTCTTTTCTGCTCTTTTAGGATCACTACACTTTTTTGTGAGAGATTCACATGGCTAAATGTTAACCATATCTATTGCAGCATTTGAGGACAAATTTTGCATCGTACTTTACCGATTGCTATGACCAGTTCAGATATCAACATGAATTTTCTTTATTTCTGTAGTCTCAAATTCTGAAGGCCTTTTAAGGCACTGGCTCCATTAATCTTATATGATGTCTATTAATCTTTTTGGACACACTCAATTCCTCTGGTTTCTTCCTGGTGTCTTTTGTGTCTATGGTTAACACTGAAGCAGGCTAAATTTAAGAGTTGGTTAACAAGTTTATTAAGTGAGGGTGTATCTTCACCTTTTGAGATACAGAATAGAGATATTTCTGCTTGAACAGGAGCGTCGTTGGTAATGAAAATTACGTCTTCGCTCTGCTCTTTCTATACGTACAAATGAACTCAGCTATGCTGCACATATACTTCAGTTATGAATTATATTATCATAAACGTGTATTTAATATCTCAATGTCCCTGGTTGTTTCAGAATAAAATAGGTGTTGTTCATCGTGGTCCTGAAATACACAGTCTATCTATATAATTATTGTGATGGGCTGAAATATTTGATTGTGGATATATAGCTAAACTCATGTTGATCTCTATTTTTTTTCTTTTGAATCATGTTGTTTTGACATGTCTATTTTGGTGTTCATTTTAGATCTTACAGTGTGCTACCCATATGAAAAATATATCTAATGATATTATCATCATCGTGCTTATATATATATATAGTTCATACGGGACAGACGTGTTTCCATCTATTATTTTGGATTTATTTTGCCTCCTAAGTGGGTTATCAATCGTTTTCTATAATACGATATGGGAACACTTCTTCTACATGCTTCAGTCATTTTCATGAAAGAGACCACGAAGGTATTGAAATAAAACAATGTTTCTTTCTATATGCAAGTGGGAAGTGCAGTTTAGTGGATCAAGGAACCCATAAATCTGTTGGGGAATATGTACATTTATTTTGTCAACACATACCTCATTTCCACACCTTTGTGCAACAATGCTTCTTATAAATAGAATATGTTAATATATATACCTTTTTTGTTCCCATAAATATCCCACATCAATGCGTGGGTTATCATCTAGTTTCTTGATGTATATGTCTTATTGCTATTGAGGAGGACCTCTTCACTAGCCACGTCCTCCCCTCCAAATTAAGTAAGTAGCTAGTGAGGAGGACGTGGAGTGGAGGGGAACGGCAATGGGATAGACGATAGACCAAGTGTGTTCTTACTTGTGAGCCTCAGCTCCGACAAGGACAAAGACAACGCTTACCTAGCTATCGTGTCGCACTAGGGGACCGAATGTTTCCGTTCCGTTCGCTGGTTCGAACCTTCCCTAGCCACCATTTTGTTCCCTGCACTCCCTCCTCCCAGTTGTCATTCCCCAATTCTTTGGGTCCTCATAGATTCAACCCGGCCTGCCATCAAATCACCCTGCAGTCTACCAACACTACACCACGACACCACAAAGACGACATGCACCTGTTGGTAAAAGTGAGCATCGCCGACACTTCTTTTGCCTCAAACTATACCGACACATAGTATGACAGTGTTATATAACCTCATTGACACATTATCTGTCGCCGTAGCACCACCAGAGCATCGACGTAATTTCTGTCGGCAGTTACCATCTTTACTGATTGTTTGTGTGTCGGCGATTCGTAGGAACAGAAAAAGTGTCGGGGTAGTTTCCTTCCACCCACATCCGAAAAATAAGGCGCGGAAAGAGAGCCATGCGCGCGTGATGGAAAACACGCAAGTCGGACC